TATATCTATATCTATATATATATATCTATATATATATCTATATCTATATATATATATATATATATAAATAATCTCAAGAGGCTGAGATGAAGCCAAGCCCACTTCTGTGTGATGCACGCCTCGACGTCGCGTCCAGAGATCTGATTGGAGGATGTTAACTTTCTTTAATTAATGACAGGTGTGTAACAGTACACTGTACAGGAGTACTGTGTGTAGTACTGCTGCAGTGTTGGAGTATTGGTCCTTAACCAGTTTGAACTGGTTCTCAGAGGAGAGACGGTAAAGAACAACTGGGAGATTTCTTTGGAGGATCCAACTCGTATGCAGAGTGTTACCCTGCTACGTAAATTACACGCACACTAGTACACACTCATACTGTATGTACATAGAAATACTCAGTCATACATGTATAAGTACTTTAAACCTGTCTGTGTGTGTACAGGATGGACGACCTGGCTGTGGACAGTGATGAGGAGGTGGACTACAGTAAGATGGACCAGGTACCTTTTTAAATATTTAAAAACCCCACCTAGTACTAGAGTATTAGTACTGCCTGTAGTACTGGCTGTCAAACGATGGTCCCCATGTCAATGTAAACACTGCTCGTGTGTGTGTGGGTGTCTATGATGGTTTGATGGTCCCCATGTTACTGTTAAACCTGCTTTTGTGTGTGTGTCTCTGATGGTTCGATGGTCCCCATGTTGATGTTAAACCTGCTATTGTGTGTGTCTCTGGTGGTTCGATGGTCCCCGTGTTGCTGTTAAACCTGCTCATGTGTATGTGTGTCTCTGATGGTTTGATGTCCCCATGTCGGTGTTAAACCTGCGTGTGTGTGTGTGTGTGTGTGTGTGTGTGTCTGATGGTTCGATGGACCCGTGTTGCTGTTAAACCTGCTCTTGTGTGTGTGTTTCAGGGCAATAAGAAGGGTCCTCTGGGTCGGTGGGACTTTGACACTCAGGAGGAATATTCAGATTATATGAACAACAAGGAGGCGCTGCCAAAGTACGTCTTAGTTCCTGCTGTGTGATGATGGATAGATGATGATGACGATGATGATGATAAAGGTTGACGATGAAGATTGTCCCTGCAGGGCTGCCTTCCAGTACGGCATCAAGATGTCTGAGGGCAGAAAGACTCGGCGCTTCAAGGAGACCAATGAGAAAGCAGAACTGGACCGACAGTGGAAGAAGATCAGTGCTGTGAGTTCATCTATTGATCATTATGACATCATTGATTACTGTACGAGGTGTAAACATTTTTTATTTTAGGAATGTGGACCCCAGGTTGCTTTGGTAACAATAAATAAACAAACAAACTGTTTTCAGATCATAGAGAAGAGGAAGAAGATGGAAGCTGATGGGTGAGTGTTTCCTGTTTATTCATGTAAACAGACTGTAAACGTAAGCGGTCGATAAACGTAAACGTCCTGTAAACGGTGTGTTTACGGTCAGTTAACGGTGTTTAAATGTGTTTGTGTTTCAGGGTTGACGTGAAGAGGCCTAAATACTGAAGACTTCCTCATTGTCCTACAGGATCAATAGTGATCAGTTATTGATCTGTGATGTGATTATTAGTTTTAGTTAAAAACCTTAAATGATCACCTTCTGTGGTTTTAGCTTCATTAAAAATTTACAAAGTTTGTCTGTTGGTAACCTGATATCTGATGTTATTGATTACCTGATGTTATTGAATCATCATTAAACATCAATGAAACCGATCTTACTTTGTTTTGATGTTTGTCGTCTCTTCTGGTATTTAATGTGTATGTGTATATATACAGTGTATATTTTATATGTGTATGTATGTGTGTATATGTGTATGTATGTGTGTATATGTGTATGTATGTGTGTATATGTGTATGTATGTATATATATGTGTATATGTGTATATATATGTGTATATGTGTATATATATGTGTATATGTGTATATATATGTGT